GGTAATTACAATTAAAATATATTGCAAGTCCACAAGCAATGCTCATGTATCATTTGTATATTTTATGATTATAACATTAAACACATTCAAGTCTTAAAATCAAAATGTCAATAAATTGTACAATAATATATGCCTTTCATAAACTATGACGGTTTTTAAATCTCAATTTGAACACAAAAAATGTACAATTTTAAGATTATATTTTTCTAATGGAATATTTACAATTAATATTTGCTTTAAAAACTATTTTCACATTTTAGAATGTTTGAAATAGTGTATCCTGTATATAAATGGGATGTGATTTGCATTTTATAAAAATAATAAACAGTTTTGTAGATTGTGATGTTTGTTGTATAAAAACGGGATATGATTCGCGTTCATAAAAATTATAAACAGTTCTGTAGATTGTGGGTCTAATGTTTTGTGACATAGTTAAGTCGGTACAAGTGTAGGTCTATTGTTTGTGATATACACATATTGTGTAAGAGTTGCAATCATTGACAAATGCGTCCATTGGAAAAGTACAACACAGTTTATTTCAAAAGAAAAAAAAATGATGACAATTGTTTCTTCTATGAGGTATGTTTATGATACAGTAGAAGAATAAAAATAGTGAACTACTGGGAGAAGGTCACTTATAATTTTTTTGTGGTCAATCTCTTAAGGGCTTATGTACATGTGATCACTGGACCAGAGGCGTACCTAGGGGAGGGCGGGTGGGGCGGCCGTCCCGGGCTCCGACCTTAAGGGGGCGCCAAAGGGGCAAAGAAAATAATTTTAAAGCTTATTTTAAGCTGAAGTATTGAATTATACGCTGTCAATGTCAAAGTTACGAAAAATAAAATAAGGCTTCACACAGCTGTTTTTATATCAATTTTGTGGCACCGAAGTAGAAAATGTTACGGGTTAGTAACTGGTAAGGAGTGCCACAAACCTTTCCAACGGGGGGGGGGGGGGGGGGGGGGCGGGGCTTTTTCACAGACAGGAATAACTATATATATATAGAAAAAGGAGGGAGGGGGCACAGAATTGATATTTTGCCCCGGGCGCCGGAATAGGTAGCTACGCCTCTGCACTGGCCGGGTATTGTCTGAACTTGATGGTGTGGCTGTATGTGGTTGGTGCTGTATGTGGAGTGGATGTCGGTGCTGTATGTGGAGTTGATGTCGGTGCTGTATGTGGAGTGGATGTCGGTGCTGTGTGTGGAGTGGATGTCGGTGCTGTATGTGGAGTGGATGTCGGTGCTGTATGTGGTCGGTGCTGTATGTGGTCGGTGCTGTATGTGGTCGGTGCTGTATGTGGAGTGGATGTCGGTGCTGTATGTGGAGTGGATGTCGGTGCTGTATGTGGAGTGGATGTCGGTGCTGTATGTGGAGTGGATGTCGGTGCTGTATGTGGAGTGGATGTCGGTGCTGTATGTGGAGTGGATGTCGGTGCTGTGTGTGGAGTGGATGTCGGTGCTGTGTGTGAAGTGGATGTCGGTGCTGTATGTGAAGTGGATGTCGATGCTGTATGTGGAGTGGATGTCGGTGCTGTATGTGGAGTGGATGTCGGTGCTGTGTGTGGAGTGGATGTCGGTGCTGTGTGTGAAGTGGATGTCGGTGCTGTATGTGGAGTGGATGTCGGTGCTGTATGTGGAGTGGATGTCGGTGCTGTATGTGGAGTGGATGTCGGTGCTGTATGTGGAGTGGATGTCGGTGCTGTGTGTGGAGTGGATGTCGGTGCTGTATGTGGTCGGTGCTGTATGTGGAGTGGATGTCGGTGCTGTATGTGGAGTGGATGTCGGTGCTGTATGTGGTCGGTGCTGTATGTGGAGTGGATGTCGGTGCTGTATGTGGTCGGTGCTGTATGTGGAGTGGATGTCGGTGCTGTATGTGGAGTTGATGTCGGTGCTGTATGTGGAGTGGATGTCGGTGCTGTATGTGGTCGGTGCTGTATGTGGAGTGGATGTCGGTGCTGTATGTGGTCGGTGCTGTATGTGGAGTGGATGTCGGTGCTGTATGTGGTCGGTGCTGTATGTGGAGTGGATGTCGGTGCTGTGTGTGAAGTGGATGTCGGTGCTGTATGTGGAGTGGATGTCGGTGCTGTATGTGGAGTTGATGTCGGTGCTGTATGTGGTCGGTGCTGTATGTGGAGTGGATGTCGGTGCTGTGTGTGAAGTGGATGTCGGTGCTGTGTGTGAAATGGATGTCGGTGCTGTGTGTGAAGTGGATGTCGGTGCTGTATGTGGAGTGGATGTCGGTGCTGTATGTGGAGTGGATGTCGGTGCTGTATGTGGTCGGTGCTGTATGTGGAGTGGATGTCGGTGCTGTGTGTGGAGTGGATGTCGGTGCTGTGTGTGGAGTGGATGTCGGTGCTGTGTGTGAAGTGGATGTCGGTGCTGTGTGTGTCGGTAGTGTTGCCGTCTGCCGTCTGGCTCGTAGCACATTTTATTTTTAAATTTAATGCCCCTTCCCTTTATGCCACATAAACACCTACTTTGTATATCTATCGGTGTTCCTATCTGTATAAAATATGAACTACGGGTATACAGCTAAATATGAACTACAAGTACTTAGACATTGAAGAGACAGTCATCCTTTATCGGTTGCTATTGCAGGCTCCGTTTTAAATCTCAATAGTTATTTCAACCCTTCAAATATTGATTAAAAAAACACCTAATGAGCTCTTGTATTACTTTCGATTGATTTAAATATTTTCAAAATGCTGTTGATTTTTTTTAATGGCATCATCCCAGAGCAGGTATATTGACAGAGGAGATGAAATATTTGGGATACAAATTTGCAGCGTTGTGATTATATAAACCCAATTGTGCGTGTTTTGTGTTTACAATTGTTAACTGTTGGAGGTGTTTATTTATTTTTTTATATTATCTGTAACAAAATATTTACTGGAAGTGTTTAGAACTAAATTAATGATGGACTTTGTTTAAAAAAATCGTAGGCTATCAATATCCAATCACAGTTTGTGTTACAAAAAGTGATAAGGACATGAAACATTAAGACGACAGATCTGATAGGTTGGCTGTATGTAAATTGAAAGGAGTCTCAGTGTGACAAATATAAATTAACTGATGAAATAATAATTTTTTAAAATAACTCTCATTCCATCATTCATTTATTTTTCAAGGCTTGGGCTACTCAATAGACGAATTGTAAAAAAAATGTTTTTTGATCCACGTCAGGAATAATGACGACCCCCCCCCCCCCCCCCACCCCCAAATAGACTGGATCGATGTCATTGTGTTAAGTCTAAAGTTGGCTCGTGCTTTGTTGTATATTTGTTTATTGATGTTTTTAAAAAAAATGATAACTAATCACTAATTTTCAAGCGATTTTTTACCAAAATTTCTAAGCTCTAGTAAAATTAACAATGCCATTTTTCTTGAGGTGTAAATGACGGATTCATTTCAACACAACGAAACAAACATCTTACAATGATGAGCATAAAATTCACGGTTATATTAAACAAATAAAACCATCCAATGTGATGCTAGTTAAAGCTATTACAGGAATGTATATCATATATTTCATTTATTATGAATTACAATAAGCCCAGAATGCAAGATTTAATGTAAAATGATTTTAAATAGGTCTTCGCTCGGTTCTTATTGTGTTTATTTATTCTGTACAGGCCTATTAGAATAATGAAATATACTAGAAAATATTGTATCTTTGTTACTTTTCATATAAAAATATAGCTTTGACAAGATAAATTGAATTAGTGTTAAAGGGTTTTAGAAAACAAAACAATATAGAGTTATAAAATATGAGGGTGGTAGTCTGTTATATTTCTGCGGAAGTTGTATTGAGATATGAGGGAAGTAGTGTGTTATACCTCTGCAGAAGTTGTATTGAGATATGAGGGAAGTAGTGTGTTATATTTCTGCGGAAGTTGTATTGAGATATGAGGGAAGTAGTGTGTTATATTTCTGCGGAAGTTGTATTGAGATATGAGGGAAGTAGTGTGTTATATTTCTGCGGAAGTTGTATTGAGATATGAGGGAAGTAGTGTGTTATATTTCTGCGGAAGTTGTATTGAGATATGAGGGAAGTAGTGTGTTATACCTCTGCGGATGTTGTGTTGAGATATGAGGGGGTGGTGTGTTATATTTCTGCGGAAGTTGTATTGAGATATGAGGGAAGTAGTGTGTTATATTTCTGCGGAAGTTGTATTGAGATATGAGGGAAGTAGTGTGTTATATTTCTGCGGAAGTTGTATTGAGATATGAGGGAAGTAGTGTGTTATATTTCTGCGGAAGTTGTATTGAGATATGAGGGAAGTAGTGTGTTATATTTCTGCGGAAGTTGTATTGAGATATGAGGGAAGTAGTGTGTTATATTTCTGCGGAAGTTGTATTGAGATATGAGGGAAGTAGTGTGTTATATTTCTGCGGAAGTTGTATTGAGATATGAGGGAAGTAGTGTGTTATATTTCTGCGGAAGTTGTATTGAGATATGAGGGAAGTAGTGTGTTATATTTCTGCGGAAGTTGTATTGAGATATGAGGGAAGTAGTGTGTTATATTTCTGCGGAAGTTGTATTGAGATATGAGGGAAGTAGTGTGTTATATTTCTGCGGAAGTTGTATTGAGATATGAGGGAAGTAGTGTGTTATATTTCTGCGGAAGTTGTATTGAGATATGAGGGAAGTAGTGTGTTATACCTCTGCGGATGTTGTGTTGAGATATGAGGGGGTGGTGTGTTATATTTCTGCGGAAGTTGTATTGAGATATGAGGGAAGTAGTGTGTTATATTTCTGCGGAAGTTGTATTGAGATATGAGGGAAGTAGTGTGTTATATTTCTGCGGAAGTTGTATTGAGATATGATTGGGTGGTGTGTTATACCTCTGCGGAAGTTGTATTGAGATATGAGGGGGTGGTGTGTTATACCTCTGCGGAAGTTGTATTGAGATATGAGGGTAGTAATGTGTTATACCTCTGCGGATGTTGTGTTGAGATATAAGTAGTGTGTTATATCTCTACGGAAGTTGTATTGAGATATGAGGGGGTGGTGTGTTATACCTCTGCGGATGTTGTATTGAGATATAAGTAGTGTGTTATACCTCTACGGAAGTTGTATTGAGATATGAGGGGGTGGTGTGTTATACCTCTGCGGATGTTGTATTGAGATACGAGGGCGGTAGTCCCGAGGGCGTGTCCAGGTCACTCGTGACTTCCTGTTTATCCGGGGACAGCTTTGACCGGATGTCGCCGCTCTGGAACTTGTCGAACTCCGTCTCCAGCCCGGCCGGGATGTTGAGGTCGTCGTCCCCTTCTATCGTGTTGTGGGAGTGCACCCCTTGCTTCGCCGGCACCAGCGGAAGGCTGATGCCCGGATTCTCCACACCGCTTCCGGATGGAGTTTCCGTTTTCGGATCCGAAGTCTCGTTTTTGAAAACGGGATCCGGTTTGGGCGTCGATTCCAAGGCGTTGATGATGGTGTCGACCTCTGTGGATATTGCTTTTTCGTCGTCGGCGGCCGTGCTGTTCAACGCGGGGGAGGTGCTGTTGACGGGCGTCTCGGCCTTGACCCCGATCCGTGACGTCACCTGACTGTGTAGGAGCTGGTAGTGCTTCAGAGCGCTGATCATTTTATCGTGCGCGGCGACCTTGCAGAAGAGGTCAAGGTCGATTTTGTAGAATTTCATCAGGTGGTCGTCGTAGCCGACGAGCTGTTCCCGGCACGACTCCGGCACGACCGGCAAACCGGCGTCCGGCATGCCGGGCTTGCTGACGGCGACCAGGTGAGCCACCAGCAAGGCCAGGCCGATGAGCGTCAGGAAGATGCCGGAAGTGCTGACGGTGATGGTGGCTAGGTACAGGTTGTTGGCGCGGTTGTAGCAGTAGCTGAGGTAGCTCCGGCGGGCAGACGAGTTGAGGAGGAAGGCGATCAACCCCAGGAGGGGGTTAAAGATGGCGGCGACAAGGCAAAGGAATCGGTAGTCTGGGATGTCTCTGGGGACAAGAATACAAAAAGTTGAATCAAGTCAGGTAGCACTTTCATGATTATATCACCAACAAACCCCAATGCTTACTATATACCTATCCCTATCCCTATAACAGCACTATCATTGTTATATCACTGACAAAGCCCAATGCTTGACTTTATCTCTATCCTTATCCCTATACAACACTGTCATGGTTACATCACTCACAAACACCAATACTTGATTTTATCCCTATCACACATTACTAAATGATACATAATAATTCGAGAAACCGTTTAAGGGTTAATGACATCTATTATATAAAACGAAACAAATTATTAAAATAAACCTAAAATAAATTTCACTACAACCTTTGACCCAAGCTTACCTAGACCTAATGACTTCTGAACAAGCGACCTTTGACCCCTATTGTCCTAAGTTTTGATGACAATACCGATGGTCCCCAACCGACCGGATATGGAACTATCAACACATCTTGCAGACGGCAGTGTTACACAAACATACAAGTAAAACTATCAACACATATTTCAGACGGCAGTGTTACACAAACATACAAGTAAAACTATCAACACATATTTCAGACGGCAGTGTTACACAAACATACAAGTAAAACACAGGCAGCTCAGGAAAGTGGTGTTTACATATTCTGTCAAGTCGTGTGTTTATAAACGCCATGGGTGGTATTGACAGTGTAGTTAAGGTGGTCGAGTTGGTAACCTAAGGCTCTACTGTCTATGTGAAAGCATGCTGATAATATTCCCTAATTTACGCGCTTTGTGTGTTTAATTTTTATATAGTGGAAGAAGTGAAATGGGTTGCCTGAAAAAAAAATTTCCTAGTAAATATCGTGAATCATTTTACAGATTCTTCTTCTTCTTCGTTCTTAATTATTAGGCAGCAGTTGTTTAATTTTGGAGTTGTCTCTCCTAGAAGAGTGTCTGTCCCCAGCTAACGAGCCTCATCTGCCCGAGGGTTCGAACTCGAGACTTTTCGGTTTAGCAACCATGAGCTTTACCGACTCGACCACGCCGACCCCTTTTTTACAGATTAAAAATTCAACCCTTTGATGTTTTTTTAAAAAATTCCCTTAATTTTTTTTTTCTCTTTTTGAGCATGGTAGCTTAGGTTGATGGTTAGGATTTGGGTGCGACATGTTTTAAATAAACTGAGATATCAGACAAAATGAGTTTTCAGTGCCGTGCGGAGCACATTAAACGCGTAATCTGATCATTTTGATCATTTTTTTGCTCTGGATAACCTAGATCGACGTTTGCTATTTCTAAACGGTTTTAAATGGACTCGGGCCCTTTGGTGAAAAAAAAGAAATCTCAATACAATTGAAAATGTTTTTATTGAACTGAAAGAAAGAATGTGTGAGAGAGGTGAGTACTTCAACCAACCATTCTAGATAGCTGAAATTTTGCTAAATTTAAAAAAAATGAGGATAAGGAAATGACCGTACTTTGTGAAACAAACGGAACATTATTTTAACCCATCTCGATCCCCCCCCCCCCCAAATATACGAATATAGGCTAGCTTTCGAAGTTTTTATAAAGGAGTGGAGGAGGAGGAGGGAAGGTTGAAGTATATATGGTGTGTGTGTGTGGCGGGGGGGGGGGAAGCTTGCTCACTGTCTCAGTTGTGCAATCATACATCAAGACATTTTAAGAACAGAATACCATATTAGTACCCAGGTATTGTACACATTTGCAATTTGTAAAAAAGAATATTTTAATTTTGATAGGCCTACATTTATTTTTTTCATGCAATTTTTAATGGGAGAAATAGGGGGGGGGGGGGGGGTACCAAGCTAATCACTTAATCATCCTTTGCTCTATCCTTATCAGCATTGTATAACCTGTTATACAACACTGTTCCAGTGATCATGAACCACATAATTACATTCGTCTCGTCAATGTTTTTAGTTCGCAGCATACTATACAAACACATAATTACATTCGTCTCGTCAATGTTTTTAGTTCGCGGCATACTATACAAACACAAACAATGTGCGCATTTAAAAAAAAAAAAAAAAAAAAAGAAATCACCAATCGATCGTAGTGTCGGATCGACGCAACCTAAAAATCTGGCGCATATTTCCAAGGCGCAAAACATGCCATCGCTGGCCTTGACCCTATTGTCTACAGGCGGCCATTGTTGTTTACCCCGGGCGCGAGACGCGGGTTGGACTATAAATAAGGTATCAACAACAATACAACCGGGATACACGCTGTCTGTCGGTCTGTCTGTCTGATGGGTCACAGGCGTCATCAATACTTTGGTCATCAGTTAGACAAAGAAAGGGATTGGGTGGGGGATGAAGGCGGGGAGGAAGATATTGGATTGTTTATTGATTCAAGGCGATGCAACCACTAGAAGTAAGAAATGCAAAGTTCCCCTTATCTCTATCAGATGTAATGATCAAGAGCGTAGATAGGTAGAGTTCATCTGGTTTTTTTTCATGGCATATGTAAAGGGGGGGGGGGGTAAGGTCAGAGAAATGCCTGGGCGGTTTTACTTTACCTAACGTGAGTCAGTTACACGGACACTCGCAACCAAGATCCGAACTCGTTACTATCGGGTCAGCAGTTGAGCGCTCTACCACCTGACTACCCCATCCCTCCTCTAGTGGAGGATGAGGTAAATGCCAAGATAGGGAACATAATAGAGGAGGGAGGGGTGGTTTCGGAGATAAAAGATGGGGTGGGTTCTTATGAGAAGGTGCTTTTAAGCTGGATTTAGATTGGCGTAGGGCAGTCTCAGGTAGTGGAGAAGGGGTGGGGGGGGGGGGTGGGGTTGCAAGAAAATAAATCCTACCCCTATTTTTAACAGTCGTTTAATTGGCATATCTAGTAACCAAGATATTGAAATGAACTTTATGAAGGTAACAGCTAAAATGAAAATGATGAAAACATTACCTGCTAGCGTTACCAATCAGGGCTCTTCTGTCTCTAGTTCCTGCCTTCAGCAGGCCCAGCTGACTTGCGGTCTGTTGGGAGAAAAAATAATTTTAGAATCAATGGCTACAGTAAAACTGTTATTGTTAAATAGATGGGGTCGTACAGATCTTATATATCGCGAAAAGACTACTTTTTTGACACCTTTACCTCATATAAAATAATGTAATATTTCTACGTATTACCACTTCTTACATAATATTTCTACGGATTACCACTCCTTACATAATATTTCACAAATTACCAACCCTTACATAATATTTCTAGAAATTACCACCTCTTACATAATATTGCTACAAATTACCACCACTTACATAATATTTCTACAAATTACCACCACTTACAAAATATCTCTACAAATTACCACCACGTACAAAATATTTCTACAAATTACCACTCCTTACATAATATTTCTACAAATTACCACTCCTTACATAATATTTCTAGTAACACACACTTCATATCCCACAAGCAAATGTGTAGTAAAAACATTTTTATTTTTGAAAATTTGTAATGGGGATCACGTTAATGAGTGCTGATTGTTACATCGTCGTTAGAAAAAAAGGCAAATTATTCACAGTCTTTAATTAAATGAACAAAGTGGTTAATCCAATTATGTCAACGTATTCACCTAAACAATTAAAATAACGGATGTTTAACGGAAACAAGAGGAGAAGAAATTAAAGGCAGTGTAACATGACCTAGCAGTAAACCCATGTTACTTTTAAAGGTTAATAGTGTGTTAAACATCACCAGACTACTACAGTTGAACAACTTGATGAACCCACCTCCACTCCCCACCTATGTTACACGAAGATATCACAAATCACAAGATAAATCTTTGCTATGGTTTTTTTTAAATATACCTAGAAACTCATTTAAAAAAAAAAAAAAAAATAGTTTGTGTAATTAATAAACCGGGAGTGATCTCCCCTAAACTTTCTCGAATATTCTTATATAAAATAACAGGGGATGGGAACTCGGGCTATAGACATGATTTTTAATCCATTTTAAATACTTAAAGTTTTAAAAATAGAATAAAATCTCGTAGACAAATTAATTGCACACCAAGTGAACGCCCAATAAAAAAGCGCATAATAGTGCGCAATATTATTAGTACTTTTAAAATTTACATTAGTTTTTTGAGAAATCGGAAGTAGCGTAAATTACTACTTCCAGTCAACGGAAATTACTCAAAATTTAACAGAATGTAGAGGATTAGATCTTTTACTTACATGTGAAATTTCATTTATCTATCTGAAATAGTACTCAAGTTATAGGCTTTTAAAAAATTCAAAGTAGGAAAAGTACCACTTCCGGTTATCGGAAATCGCTCAAAAGTTGATACGGATCTACGATTTTGATAAAATACTTATATATGAAATTTCATCAACCTAGCTGTAACGGTACTCAAGTTATCGTGTTTACACACGGACAGACACACACACAGACAGACACACACACACACAGACATACGGACAAGATTGCAAAATTATGTTTTTCCGTATCAGTGAGGTGTAAAACGTCGAGATCTGTAAAAATCTCGATTTTTTTTTTTTTGCACGATTACAATACTTTCTCTATACTACGTATATACGAGAAAGTAAAAATTATATTTTAAAACTTCAAACTTATTTAAACTGTGAAAGATGAAAAAAAAAGACTTAAAATATATTTAAAAGATGTTTGAAATAAGCATAGAACACTTGAACTGATCTTATAATTAACATTTTGAATCTTTTAAAATAAAATACTTTAACAAAATGTTTAGAAATGCCGCAAAATACCTGTTGGTTTTTTGAGAATTTCTAAAATAAGTCCTTTTGTAACTTTTAACCGATGTGTTTTTTTTAATAAACATTTTTGAAATACGTTTTAAACATAAAAGCGATATTAGAAGATGTTTGATTTTTTAAAAAAAATATAATTTCTTTTTAACCTTTTTTAAAAAGATTTTATAGACATTTTATAAAAAAATATTTAAATGTTTTAAATGAAAGCTTTTATAAATACTTTAAAAGTGTATTCTGTATGTATCATCATTGAAATCACAAGGGTATTAGAATAAATTATTTAAAAAACCCTCTAAAAACAATACGTCTAAATTAGAATTATTTTATACTTTGTTTAAGAATAATTAGGATATTTTTTCCTGTGATAACTAATGACTAGATGAAATGTGGGGCAGAAGAGGTTGGACTACCTCACATAGGGCTATATACACTCCATCCCAATCAAGTATATTATCACATGTTACCGGCTAGTTCAATAACGATTTAAAAAAACATTAAGCTCTCCATTGGCCCACTTGATTTCATAACATACACAGACACTACATAGACACTACACAGACACAACCCAGACACTACACGGATAAACTCAGACACTACACAGACACAATCCAGACACTACACAGACACAACCCAGACACTACACAGACACTACACAGACACTACATAGACACAATCCGGACACTACATAGACACTACACAGACACTACATAGACACTACATAGACACAATCCGGACACTACACACACACAACCCAGACACTGCACGGATAAACTCAGACACTACACATACACAACCTAGACACTACACAGACACAACCCAGACACTACCTAGACACTACACAGAAATAACCCAGAAACTACACAGATACTACACAGACACTACACAGACACAACCCAGACACAACCCTGATGGATTGGAATGAATGTTGAATTTACCATCCAGGCTTGACAAACCAGTGCAGGTGAAACACAAGAACAAAGGAGCAATTCGTTCATTTATTTTACAACCCCGTACATCAAAGCAGTATGGCTATGAATTTTATCAAAAACACGCTGAAAAACCTGCTACAATAATATTTTCAGAATAAACAAAAAAAAAAATTATCCGAATAAATTAACGTTTTAACGGCCATTTTTTTTTTCGTTGGCAATGTGTCAAGGACGAATGTAATTTTCCATGGGAGTCTTCATTGCGGCGCCTGAAGGTGGAGCCGTTAAACCTTGTCAGGGGAGTGAATCCGACCGGACGTGTGATAAGACACCTAAAATTAAGCTCTAACCACTCTCCTTTTTTATCATGCACTCCAAAATCCCCCTCCCGAACCCCCGATTCTCACCCCTCCCCCCTCCTACTTCCTTACACGCCAAATTTAGCAGGCAGAAAACTGCCTGCAGTAATTAACGTAGACGACATCGTAGCCTTTCTTGACTGTTCTTTTATTATGGCTGTTTAAAGAACCGCATCGGTTAAATACAGTGGGAGTGATCTCCACTAAATTTTCTTGACTGTTCTTTTAATATGACCGCTCAAAGAACTGCATTGGTTAAAAAAAAAACAAAAAAAAAAAGCCCTTGACCCTTGACGTAACTCTGGAACAAGTAGGCCTACAAGGCAGGAGAGACAATGAAACACACTTGTTTATTCTGGGCAAAAGTAGTAAGCTATGCCAGTAGTAATTACGTCGTTTTTTAGCCAGTCGTGTAGTAAGACCGTCATGTAGTAAATCAGTCGTGTAGTAAGCCAGTCGTGTAGTAGATCCGTCGTGTAGTAAGACCGTCATGTAGTACATCTGTCGTGTAGTAAGCCAGTCGTGTAGTAGATCTGTCGTGAAGTAAGCCAGTTATGTAGTAAATCTGTCGTGAGGTAGCCAGTCGTATAGTAGATTCGTCGTGTAGTAAACCAACGCGCATAAAGCCACATGAACCTAACCAGAGCAAGCACTCACTAGACAACCCCCAGTACTCACCTTGGTCTTGTCTTCACCGCTCCTCGCTTGACCACTGTCCAGACTGGAGGGTGTGGACAGGTGCTGGTCTATTTGCGCGTTCTCGTCGTAGTTGGGGTCTAAGAAATCCGGCTCGAAACACGAGAGGGGGATGCTGAGCACCATCCCAGACTTGTATCCATTGTCGTCCTCATACCTCACGGGTTCTGGGACGTGTGGGGGGTTGACATGAGGGGGGTTGACATGAGGGGGGTTGACATGAGGGGGGTTGGCCCGCTTACACGTGTCAGTCTGCAGCCCAGGGTTGTAATTTTGGTGACAGATATCCGGCCAGACTCCGCGCTCTCGCGGTGACGTTGGGAGGTTAGTTGAGAAACCGGAAGTTGGTTGGTGAGTTGAGAAACCGGAAGTTGTTTGGTTAGTTGAGAAACCGGATGTTGGTAGGTTAGTTGAGAAACCGGAAGTTGGTAGGTTAGTTGAGAAGCCGGATGTTGGTGAAGCTAAACACTGATGCTGGGATGAGCATGCGTCAGATCTGCAGCAGAACTTCAACGGAAGGTTCTCAAATGTTATTCTAGGTTTGTTTTCATTTGCTGAATCATACACGTGTGGGGAGCTGGGGGTGATTTTCTTGTCCGAGACACCCGCGGGGTCGCTTTCACAATTGCGGGTGTATCTAACACACCCGGGGTGGGGGTGCCTTTGGCCGTGATCTAAGGATACCTGGTGACATAGCTGTTTCTGATTCGGGCAGTCTCGGGAACGACGAATGTCGGAGAATGGATTTCGGTTGGTGTTTAGGTGAACGTCTTTAGCGAAACGACTGTCAACGTTGTTGAGTGCTACAGCATCTTCAGGTAAATCGTCGAAAAAAGGCGTGTGGTTCTGCGAATGGAAGTTGTAGCTGGGAGACGGACGAGGTTCGAAGTTGTGACCCGTGTGTGAGTACGTTTGGTGGTAGTTGGAAGGGATGTAACTGACAGGGTAGAAGTCGTCAGGCGACATCCGAGGCACAAGAACCTGCAGAGGTTCCGTGGCGTGGCCTTTCCCGGCGTTTTTGTTCCTGTTGGCGACCGGAGCGCCGTGACCTAGCACGGATTTTAAGTCTGGAATAATTTTTGGCCTGTAGTGCGTTATCGCCGAAGGGGCGCTGTTTGAAGAGTGAGAGTTTATCCCGATACCGTTTCTTGAGTTCCCGGTCAAGGGGGTGATTTGATTGGAGGCGGATGTTTGGCCAGGTGAGGTTTTGTCGTGTTGGTGGACAGGCACGCTCATGTCTGGGTGTCTAGGGGTCATGGTCACCGGCTGAGTGCTGTTATACACGCGAAGGGCGTTTGGCGAGTCGCCGTAAAAATAAGAGTTTTGATACGACGACGTGGGGTTAGTTTTATTATTGCTGCAGTCTGATGAATGAGGTGTGTTTTGAAGATGTCCGTCTTGGTGACGAGCGCCGGGGAATTTAGAAAAATCCAGGAGGTGGCTGCCTGACGTGGTAAGGCTGGTGATGTTACCGGCGGATAAAGAGCGCGAGAGACCTTTAAGACATTGTTGTGATCTGGGGGTGTTTATAACATGCAACAGAGTTTGGCTGTCCGGACACAGAGTCACGTCCATGTCGTTGGCTCGACTGTGGTCGAGAAAGGGGAGATTACCCGGACTTGTAGTCATGTCAGGAGTTGCTGGACTTCGTGAGCGATCGATCAGCGATACCTCGTCTGCCGGGGAGCATTGTCTTTTCCCACTTCCGGAAGAACATAAACTGTTCTGAGACGATGATGCGGTGCGACAGTCGCAACCGCCGGCGGTACCGGGTTCGATTCCAGACCGGACCAACAGCGCGCTGGATACATTGGCCGCCTTCTTGACGTCGTTGTCCACGCCTACATACAAAACAGAGTTGGCGTTCTGAAGCGAAACGCCAGCAGACACTTCTGGCGTTAATGTGTCCACGTTTAGCAAAGGTTCATGTTGATCAAACGTCGTCTCGGGGTAATCCTCCACCGTGTCGTCGCTGTTGAACGGAGCGTATCGGTCTAACAACTGGGGGTCGTACTTGGTCGTGCTGGTCGTACGTGACCGACCCCCACCCAGGTCAGGGTAGCTGTCCGTCGAACTGCTGTCTATCAAAGAGCTGTTTCCGGAGTCCACGCCTTTACTTCTCTGACTTGACCCATCGCTGGTCAGACTGGAGGTTCTCAAGCGTCCGGTATGTAAATGTCCGTGTAGCGTAGTCTGCGCTCCGCAAGGGCGTGAGCCTTCCCCCTGGGGCATCAAGGGGATGCTTTCTTCACTGCGGGCGCCGGAGGAGTTGAAGACGGAGAAACGGAGGGGCGTATGGGCGCCGCGACGGGCGGGTTCCTTCAGACTCAGAAGTTGAGTGACAGAGTCGAGATCGGGTGTGAGGTTCTCCATGAGTCGTCCAACCATAGCATCACTAAACCCTGAAACCTTCATCAGTTAGCGAACTGTGGAGAGAGAAAAATATCAACCAGTAAATAATTAGATCAAAGGTAATTAACGCTAATTATATGTTGCACAGTTTGGTTACATAAACGAAGATGAAATAAAATATGTCAATGAAAAATTACAAATAAGCAATCAAATTAATAACTGAATTTAAAAATAAATAAAAAATAAAATAAAAAAGCTACGCGTTATATGTATATATGCATATACGTGTGTGTATGTGTGTGCATACAATAATCGAAAATAAATCCTATATAAAAACTATTTTTTTAAAAATCTAAAACACTTAGTCAATATGTAATTAGATTACTTGAAATTTGATTATTGGTTGTTTTTTTTTTTTTTACTTTTCAGTGACTTGTTTTGATTGTTAATAAAAATAAATAAAAACCATTAAATTTACTAATTTAATTCAAGCAAAACTATTCATTTGCACAAATTAAAAAAATATAAGATGTTTTTATTAATTGGCAGAGATAAGAACACGAATAATTCAAACCAAAATTGAGATGGAGACCATTTTTTTGTGTGGCTATGGTGAGGTTTAAAGTTGAGGCCGAATCTGTATAGATATATATTTGTTTTTGTAATGTAATTTTTAGTTATATTAAATTATTGTTTTAAAATTCTGAATAAACTATTACTTATAAGTAATTTTTAAAAGTTTGTAACAAGCTTCACATCATGCGTATTTCAGTTACTGCTCGCCGTTGTTGATTGTAAGTAGTTAGAGCACTAACACATTTAGAAAAACGTTTTAGGTCTATATCACTTAGAAAGTTTTGTCTGACACTATTGTACACGTTTACAATCTAGCCGTCTAAATGTGATTTAGCTAGTTTAGTATGATAAAAATATAAATATTCTTGTATTTGAAACAAATTACATCATAATACAGAAAATAATTCTTTTTGTATGTTTATCTCTTAACACATTTTGCAAACTGGCTTTTCAATTAGCGACGTGTCATACATTTTAAGGGGTAAAAGTGAACCTATTTAAGCACACATTGCGTGTTTATGTTGTCTATCGTTTTAAAAAATATATTTTAAAACATGTCTAAATCCAAACACGTGTGTTATAGTTTGTTATTGATTGCATCATGTAAACATGCAAACTAAATGTACAAATCAACACTGAAGCAGTTAACTGAAATGCAATTACAAATAAAATCTAAAATTAATAATAGCAAAATTTAACTTCAATATTATAATCTTTTAACTTAATTATATTTTCTACTTGTTGTTACGTTTAAAAATGTGTTTAATATACCAGTTCATAACTGATAAAGATTTAAATTTACAAAAACAACATCTTCAGCGATTAAAGTATTGTTTTGAAAATCCGATTTTATTAATAGATCAAGTAGTAATGTAGAGTTAGCTCGCTCGACAAAGATATTGCACACTGGAACAAAATATTGAAAACTCGACTTTTTAAACTTAATACGAGTAGCCGGTCAGCGCTGGTCAGTTCTGTGGCTAGATAAATGGAAGAGCCCAGTTATGTTGATTCATGTTATCACTAAATTATGGGTTAGGGGAAAATGTGCATACATTATTTAATATAACAAATCGTCAACACAGATTTAAGTACGGCTGAAATTTTTAAAATTTATAGTTGCATATTTATACAATGGCTCGATAATCAGAAGACTCTTTTACTGTATCTTTTAGGATACAAAAATAATATATTGATACAACAATTTATTGTTTGGAACTTCAATTTTACGTGATTTATTTCATGACTGGGTGTAGTTAGCGATACAATCGTCACCCACTTCTAGTGAACCGATTTGTTCCAAAGTTAAAACATTAGTCAACACTCGGTAACTATGCACTGTGTCGTGAACTTTGACATAATTAGATGCTTCGTTAATTAAATATTGCTGTATAGTATAATACAAGTTTAAACTAATGGTATCTTTCGGATTCACTGACAGGGACCCGGTCATTATTGCTGACATTGTGAAAATAATTATGCAAAAAAATATTGAATTATGACTTCAGTATTAAGTTCAGAAAAGTAGGGGATGATGGACAGGCATAGGTCGAGGGAAACTGGAATCTAGTTTTACTAGACAGGGCATGTCATGGAATCAATACGGTTCAAAGAAAAATGGATGATCTTCTAAATAAAACACTTGAGGTAGAAAAATTGATAGACATGAAAATTATTTGAAATAGGTGGTGAAAAAAAGGTATAAATAGCTAACGACAGAAAAGCATGGAAAGATGTTGGCCCACTATGAGATGAAAATGGCGAATAAGAAGATCTAGATTTTAAAATCATAATTTAACTTTTAGAACACAAAACAAATAGAAGCCATGAAGATCACTTTCAGCGCTTTTTGTTTGTTACAAAGTTGTTTTTTTTTAAGTCATGTGGATTAAATGCGTTGTGACTCCTTATAAAATATACTAAAAACTTACTAAAAAGTAAAAAATTATATTATAGGTTTGAAAAAAAAAAAGATTTCTACATTGCACTAAACGTATCAAAAGAAAATAATTTTCTTTAAATGTAATTCACCATTACAAAAAATATTAATAATTTCCAGTATTAACTATTACTGTGGATTGTTGTATATATATATATATATATATATATATATATATATATATATATATATATATATATATATATATATATATATATATATATATATATATATATATATAAATGCAAGTATATTACTTTGTACGCATTCATTCATACGGCTTTTTCGATACACTATATTATACAGATTCGCGATTTTTAAAAATAGTTACATACAAATGGAGCATTACATTTTTAAAAAGACAATATTTTATTATTTACAATTTTTTTTTAATTGCAAAAGTAGGGCCTTCATCTTATTATTAGCAACTTAACACAAAAAAATCACTATTTTTTATATTAAAACGATTTTTTTTAGCAAATAATTTTTTCTCGCGATCTTAAATTTATCGAGGACGGTAAGTAAACATAAGCAGTTTCTTTCACATCAGAGAAGATGTAACACAGACTAGCAATAATATTTCCTTAACCTTCTGTATCTTGTCCAAGTAATTCCAAGGCCACTAGCTCACAAAGAAAAAAAAAAAAAAACTTAACTGAATTTCAACACACCACAAACGTCTGTGTAGATAACATGCATCGGTTATGGCCTTGTGTACATACTCGAAGTTAATTAATTATTTTTTTGACGAACATGTTATGTAGTACATTAATGACAAGTTATTTCAGAAATGTGTTACATTGCATGGATAGATGACGTGTGTAAGTAGCACCCCCCCCCCAACACACACACACACTTATAAATTTATAGTCAGCTCTTATCTTTTTGATTAAAATAACCGAAAACAAAAGTTATAAATAACTGAAAAAAAATATTAAATAATATAAAGAAATGAAAAATAAACAACGTAATTACATGGAATGCTACACCTGAAATTAAAAAAGAAACTACACAAATATATTTACTAATTAGTAATTAATTTTTTTTAAAATTTCTTTTACACCTCCATCGGGGTAATTAAATTTTAATTTATAGTTAAACCAGCTCGCGATGACCGCACACATTAACATACTATTCGCCACCCAGACAGCGACAAAGCGTCGTGTAAAAATGAGTACTCACTACATCCTGTCAGCTAGCAGGTAGCGGCTGGGGCACATGAAGTCGCGAGCTCGGTCGAGACCATCACAGGGCATAAAACTCTTCGGCTTGCGCTTCCCTTATCGGGAGTCAACTGGGCTCCCAGTAGCAAACTGGCTGCACGTCGCGTACTGCGAATAGCGCGCTTTCCCGCAACCGAAGAATTAAAAAAAAATATAATAAAAAAAAAGTTGTGTTCCCACTCCCCACAACTATCCCCACCCCCCCCCCCCCCTCTACCACCCACCCTCCCAGTCTTTATTTTATTTTGAATTAACCACCTTCACCATCCCCTTTCCACCCTCTTCTGCGCATGGCAAAGAATTTGTGGCGCATTGTTCCGGCGTGTTTTTACAAGCTGTGCGTCTCCATTTTCTTATCTCGACAACCTCGTAGCCTTGATCAGCTATCCCATAATCCACTTTTTCCCTTTCCGATCTCTCACTAAACTCATGTGGAAATAATTTTTCTAGCTTTGAAATTTTAAAAAAAGAAATTCCGTTTAATTTCAAAACAGGAATTTGTTTTTTTCTACATTTCCAAAACAGCCCCCGCCTTCTTTCTCCAAAACGGACCAATCAGATTCGAGGGTAACATCTATGCATGTTTCTAGTTCAAGGTCTTTATTTTTATTAATCGTTTACAGTTTAATTTTTTTTTTAAATGTAGGTTCAGGTCAATTAAAACTGGTGAAATAAAAACGCGGATTTACTTTGTAAACACGTATATATTACAGGAAACGCAACATTAACGCCACTAGTAACTTGCAGGTTTTCTCTTTGTTTGGCCTGTGAATATGGAGTCACTCTACTTTTTGCATCGTTCCTCTTGGTTAAGTGGCTGACGAGTTTCTCCAATTTTAGACTTGAAATAGTCAAAGAAATCTCGATATATATATATATATATATATATATATATATATATATATATATATATATATATATATATATTTCTCTATTAGACATGAGACTCTGCGTCAAGATTGTTAACCCTTACCTAAGGGGTCATCCATAAATGACGTCACACTCGTAGGGGGGAGGGGGGGTCCGTAATTTTGTGACGATGTGTGATGAGGGGGAGGGGGGGGGTCAGATGTTGCGACGTCATATTTTTGCATTATAAAAAAGCAATGTTAGAAAACGAATTTTAGACGTTATTTCGCGTTTTAGATAACTGTTTTAATAAATTGTAATAGTTTAGACAAGATTTTGGAAAAATATCAATGTTTTAAAAAAATTCAACTGCAATTTTGAGGGGGGTTGTAGGTTGAGGTGTGACGTCATTTTAGGGGGGGTCTGGCTTTTTGTGACGAAGTGTGACGGAGGGGAGGGGGGAGGTAAAAATCGTCCAAAAATGGATGACCCCTAACCGCCCAACCTGTTTGCTGGTAAATAGAATCGCATTTACTAACAAAATTCAGACGCAGATTGACTTTAATCAAACACCAATAAAACCAAAACCATAATCCTAATCCAGGTGTTTAAGCTTGCAAACACCAGAAAACATCTACCACCTTGGTGAAGCACTGCGCACGCGCAGAGATAAACAACAGGTATCATTAACCAGAAAAAAACAACAAAAAAACATCATGTATTTTAAAAATTCCGAACGGTCGAATTAAAGTAAAATATGTGCAAACATGCTGTAGATATGTAATTACTTAAGCACTACACTCATTATCATTAATCATTGCCGCTCGCAAAGATCAAAGTGTGTTGTGTAACCATAGCTATGGAATTAAACTGAAATTAACATTGCGAAATTAAAATAAAAATCTACCTAATAGGAAAATAACTTTATACTTTATTTGGACTTGTGAAATAATGCATCGTTAAATTATAACGAATTCTCAGATTTTAATTAACAACATAATTAATTATCCAATTTTCCCGCTGGTGTTTTAAAATCCTCCAGGTACGCATGTCCCCCCCCCCCCCACCTAATTCCTCTAGAGTTACGTCTTGCCCTAGAGTAATTTCAGTGCTATAAATATCCATCTCCCTGACCTACAGTAGCGAAACCCGCGGATCCCCACCACGGCCCCACCCACACAGGCTAGTCTCCTGAAGGGCAGCGTCCAGACATTCTCCACCACGCTCTTCTCAAAAGGAAAACACGAAATCTGCAGGCCAGTTTACCCGCGTCCGAGTCTAGACGATTGCAGTTCCTTATGTGGGTTTTACTTGTATGTGTGTATAATATGTGGGTTTTACTTGCAAATATATAAAATGTTGGTTTTACTTGCATGTGTGTATAGAAAATGTGGGTTTTAACTTGCAAATATATAAAATGTGGATTTTACTTGCATGTGTATAAAATGTGTGTTTATTTACATCGGTTTATAAAATGTAGGTTTTATCTGCATGTGTGTATAAAATTTGGGTTTTACTTGCATCGGTTTATAAAATATGGGTTTTACGATTCAAAGAATGTTGGGAGGGAGGGGGAGGGGGGGCAAAATAAAACAAGACCTGCGCAATATTTTAAAAGTGTAACCTCGCCCTAACCCCCACCATCCCCCCCCCCCCCCCACCACCCCGTGGAAAGCATCCAGACAAGTCGGTGTCTGCATCATAATTAAAAGATTAGCCTGCCACCCCCCCCCACCCCCAATCTCATACTGCATTAAGCCCTACCCCTACAGCACCTCCAGCCCTCTCCTCTTTGTTAATAATACACGTGCGCCCACCTCTCCTGAGCCAGTATATTTCACCAAATAAAAATTATACAAACTATTAACAAAAAAAATAAATAAATCAATAAATGAAAACACTTAGATTCGAAGGTCGATTCAATACCACCCGCCCCCCACCGCTCCAGACCCCCTCCCCTCCCTTCAGCACCCCCCCCTCCCGCCTCGTCGCCCTCTTTACAAGCCATTGATTGATCGGCCCGTGAGGCAGTGTCTGCCTCGCGCCTGGCACGCATACATTACCAGATCCGGGAGACTGTTAACAAGCAGAGGGGTGGGGATGGGGGGGGGGGGGGGGGGGGTGGAGTCAAGGGGGTGGCTGGGTGGAGATCGGAGAGGGGCGGAAGTAGAATCTAACATTTGGGGCGTTAGAGGTCAGTGGGACACTGGATGCACACATTTGAGTTAAACTTGAATACAGGACTTGATGAGGCGCAGCTTTCTTTGTCAGCGGCCTCCACCCCCCCCCCCAACCCCTCCTCCCCCACCCCCTATTAAATCAGACGAGCTAGACCTCGCTTGGTTCTTTTACCTGCCGTATCCGTCTGCAAGAAACCTTGACAGAAATTACCTTTTACCTGTTTTCCAACATATGAGCGGGTTTTTTTTCCCCATATATAACCTCCCTTTAACATCCAGATACAGCATAAGCGGGATTCTTTTCTTTAGCACTAAGTGCTAGACTAACCTACCTGCCTTTTGCACCAAGTGCTAGACAGTTAACCTACCACCCCACCCCACCCCCCCCTCCATAGCACTAAGTGATAGACTAACCTACCTGCATTTTGCACCAATTGCTAGACTAGTAGCCTACCATACTTTATCACAAAGCCCTGGGCTAGTCCCCTACCTTTGTAAATTTATACTTTAAAAATCTCTTCTGTTTAGTTTAATAATGTAGACGCCATTGGAGTAGGTCTGAGTTAAAGCCTGATGTTATAATAAAACTTCATCTCTCTTTGTTTCCTTATAAAAAGGTTATGGAAGGTTTTTGAAGGTTTTTTTTTTTTTCTGAAAATGTTTACCGGACGAATGCAAAATGATATCAACAACCATAGCTCTTCTGTTATATAGGCTACATGCTGCCCATTAAGCTGTTCAGTACATGCTTTGGTTGAGTGACACTAACCTTGTCATGTTAAAAAAAATAGCATGTAATTGAATTCGAAATGAGTTTTCATACAAGACCAACGCACTAATTAAGGCAGTGTGCGCATTTTTCTGTTCGCGCTTTTTTCTGTTTGCGCTTTTTTCTGGTTGCGCTTTTTTTCGTTTGCGCTTTTTTCTGTTTGCGCTTTTTTTCCGTTGCGCATCTTTTTGGGAACCGTTTTCAGATTTGATATCATGACCAAACCCTACCATCCCTACCCCCACCACCCCCCCCCTATCCACTCTCTGTACTAGGTTATCGATCCAACAAATGTATAGTATACTCACACATATGTGACAGGTATGTTGTTTGAAACAAGGTTATATGTTGTAACAACACACTTGTCATAGTAAAAACTGAAAATATCAATAAAACCGCAATTCATGTAACCATCGACATGTAGCTGTTTAGTAGCTTAACTCGTAGTTTTTTTTAAATTAGGAATTTAACAATACTTTACTTTGAGATACTTTTTTTAATGCAATTTTAATTTTTTTATTTTTGTGACCCTTAATGTACCGATTTGTTTTATTTCCCAACAACTTACAAGTATTGATAAAACTCTGATCGATTTGCTGTATCCACGCGTTCACAACCAGGAAATGGCCGATATTGATTACCCTAGTTGGATACTAAACTTAATTTTTTTTTTTAATTTAAAAATAATTCAACCCGGCCAAGGACAAGTTCATTTAGATGCATTCGTTATGAGGCAAAACTATTCTTAAGAACATTTTTTTAAAGCCTGTCCCGCGCGATTGAGCATAATTAAGGAGCTCACAATGGCAACATTCTACAGGCGGAGTTCGCTGGGTGGTCGTGTAAATTTGTGATTGGGTACACATGAGCAGATTCTCTCTCATCTTTCCTTTATTCAGTTCGTGCCCAAGACACACGATGAAGTAGAGTTCATCTGTTTTAGTGACCTCGGCATATGAAGGGATAGTGTGGTCAGCACTATGCCCAACCGCCTTTCCTTAGGTACCCTTCAGAGCTGGGTGGACTCAGGGACATTCTACTAACTTGAACCCGGAATTGAACTCGATACTTTCGGGTTAGTAGTCTAGCTCTCTACTGCTAGGCCACGCCGCCCCATATAGAAGCAGCATACACAGTAATCAATAGACGGTTAAAGTAACTTGGCGATGCATATTGGGTGGGCGGCCTGTCTTTTGTGGTGATGTAAGACTATTGAAGAAAAAGGGGTGGGTGTTGGTTAAAATTAAATTAAAAACTAGTGACGTCACTTACGGTCAACGCCCAAAGGAAAATAAAATACA